CCATGTAAACAAAGGTAAAAACAGAGGAAATTGAATTCATTACAAATCTGATCAAAATTCTTTAGCAAGTTTAATAAGAGAGTCTCTCATAGAAGGAAAACTGTCAAAATGGAAGATGGCTTTCTAAAACAGAGGTCCACAGCATAGCAGATTTTGCTAGGGCTAAACTTCACAGCTTTAAATAAACAGTGGATACAAAGAACAACACAAATGAAATAAACAAACACAAAAATATCCTGATAATTAATAGAGTTCTACAGATCAGACCAGAGATATAACTCTTGTTTTTATCAATGGTTTCCAAAGAACCAAATAATTTCATAGACTATAAGCAAAGGAAATGAAATTAGAAGCCTTTTTAACTTGGTCTTGTTACATGAGACAACACTCGAAAGTACACCAGAATACCAGTTTTCACTGGCCAGTTGTTTTTGCAATTTTTTACAAGCGATTCTCTGATTCAGGCAAAGGTGTAAGACACAACAGCAAGAATAACATCAGAAGGGTTCTTCTTTTTTTTGGTTTTGCATTTGTTCCTTGTGTTTGGAGTAGTTCTGGAAATGGAATATCTTCCATTTCTACCCAGAGCTGTATGCTTTTCAAACCTGGTTTTTTTCAGACCAAGCCTGGTTTTTACGTGCTAAGAACACAAATAGAAAAAATCTTGGCTTCTAGCCAGACACAACTTCAGCTGTATCGCATTTTCCAGATTTGTTCTTTTCTCCTATTGCTTGCTTCTAGGATTTTAACTGTAGATTTTACCTATGTGTTTTGGATTTGCTGTTTTTAATTTTGAATATTGAGTCACATATACAATTTATGAGAATGGAAACAAACAATGACAATCTTGGAAATTGTTAAAATGCTCCAAAAAGAAATAAAATATTGGTTTCAACTGAAAATACAAATATAGGGTGAGACTTGAGTGGCCAGTTCAAAATGTAACTTTGCATGTGATTAATATGCAAAGGTATTTTAAAGTCCTCCTAACTACTCTGCAGACACCCACAGCCATTTCACATGCTTCCCCATCCTTTCACATTCTCTGTTGGAATGAATTTACGTGTATCACAGTCCTGGGCTTTGAAGCAGCTGGACAAGCTATTTTCTTACCTGAACACCTCCAAGTGATTAATATGCTGAAATGAAATAGAGCCTCTAAGTTTGTCTTTGCAAATACTACTCTAAAACAATTTTTGTGCTTGAATATTAGCTCTGTAAATATGACTGACAGAATTTCCATACTTATTAAAAAACTTGACCCATTGCAGCAATACTAATACTCAACTGTGCTCCCTATTAGCTGCTCTCTCAAACTCCATTCAGTGCTTATGGTATACAGCAAGTGACACTCCCAGTAAAATGCAGTAAAAGTTTACTCAATGCAAAATGTATAAACAAAAAGAAATAGACAAAAAAAAGAATATAAATCCCAAATATGAAATATGGGAACGGATAAATACATTACAGTGATACCTTCGAAGAAAAAGTTTTTAATCTTCCCTTCTGAAAAGTATTGCTTGCTAGTATTTTTACTACATCTGTAGGTATTGCGCAGGCATATAAAATCCTTCTCTTTTTCACTGTCTAGAGACATACTATACATACAAAATAAACTGCACATATACATGAGCACACACACACATAATCTATGGTTTAACTCCAGTAAACCATGTAACAGACACTGAAGACTTGTTCATCTTTTCTATAAACATGCTAACCAAGATGTCAAAATTGTACCCTTTGTAAGATCTCTCTGGTAAGTCTCTTGCATTTGTTCAAGCGCCATGGTACTCCATCAAATCAGTCATGTTAGTCCAAAAGTTATATACTGAAATAGCCGTATGGGCAACATTCTTTTAGTAGCTTTATTACATAACAAAATAATACCATACTTATTATCAAACTAATTTATATAATCAGATTTTCCCTTTCACTGAAACAGAACTGCAAATGCATTTTGTTGTAAATATATGGATTGGGCATGTGGGTGTGAGAAGAACAGCAGAAGACTTGCTAGGACAGAATCCTGGTATCAGGTGGAGAAGATTCTTGGCTAAGTCAACAGTACTGAATTATTCTTTCAAAGCTTACTGCAAAGTGCAAAATCACTCTACAATTGGAGGCTCATTTTTTCTATTCTATGAGCTAAAGTAACTACCTCTGCAGAAATGACTCCCCAAGCATGAAACCAAAAGTTTAAAAAGAACTCTTACTACCTTTGCCAAGGTAACACTATCTCAAGACACAAAGAACATTTTAATAGCAAGGATTCAAAAGTATCAGCCTCTCTCATAACTGAAGGCAAAGCTGCAGACACTGTCTACCTTTGACTGATATATATACACGTTTGCTACCTGGTTTTCAGCTAGCATCCAAGAAGTGAAAAAGGGTCACAAAACATATTTGTAAAAAACATAGAAAAGTGAAACGTAGAAAAGTAAAAAAATTCTCTTGGGCCTTAAATCTCAGTACAAGAAAGACATTGAGGTGCTGGAGCGTGTCCAAAGAAGAGCAACGAAGCTGGTGAAGGGTCTGGAGAACAAGTCTTATGAGGAGCGGCTGAGGGAACTGGGGCTGTTTAGCCTGGAGAAGAGGAGGCTGAGGGGAGACCTCATCGCGCTCTACAACTACCTGAAAGGAGGTTGTAGCGAGGTGGGGGTTGGTCTCTTCTCCCAAGTAACCAGTGATAGGACGAGAGGAAATGGCCTCAAGTTGCGCCAGGGGAGGTTTAGACTGGACATTAGGAAAAATTTCTTCACTGAAAGGGTTGTCAGGCACTGGACAGGCTGCCCAGGGAAGTGGTTGAGACACCATCCCTGGAAGTATTTAAAAGACGTGTAGATGTGGCGCTTAGGGACATGGTTTAGTGGTGGACTTGGCAGCGTTAGGTTTACGGTTGGACTCGATGATCTTAAAGGTGTTTTCCAACCTAAATGATTCTATGATTCTATGATTCTAAAATTGTTTGCTATTTATTACTGAGAGCTTTCAAGATTAATTATATTCACAGACACTCCATGCCTAGGAGGCCATAGAAAAAAATTCCTGAACGCAATGGAGTACATAGCTATAGTTTTGCACAATGACCTTAAGTTAAACTCTCCATTTGATGGTGTTGACTTTACGGCAAATTTGAGACTATACCTATTTGGTTAGGACAAGGCCATAAAGAACAAACAAGCTTTACATTCTTATTTTGCCAGAGGGGCTACCAGAAAGATGTTCAGGCAAAGCATCTTTTCCATTGGATTAACCCACTGTTAATGACTACGTAAGCTGATGTTGACAGTAATGTTGATGACAGTAGCAGTAACTTTTGGTCATGCAGGTGGCAAAAAATTCCACCTCCAATATTTTGTTGGAGAAAAACCCTGCCAACCCTTCTTTTAGGTAGAGATGACTCTCAGGAGCTGACAGCTTTTTTGTGGCCGTTTTCTTTTTTCTCAGACACGTAAATCTAGAACCTGATCTCTGGATATAATAGTTTTATTTGAGAACTTTGCTACCTCTGTTTTAAAGTCTAAAAAGGTCCTTATAATATAGAAAACATTCTAAAGATCCAGAACATTTAGATACCATTCCTGGAAAGAACAGTCTCATGAGTTTAGACTCTGTTTGCGTGAAATCTCCACCTGACAATGGAAGCATTCATGGGCAGGAGGTTTTTGATATTTATTGCTATTTGGAACAGCAATGGAGTTTTGCCAGGCCAGAGAAGCAAAAAGCATGCCTGGATGCAGTGAGAGTATCCAGAAGGGTTTGCTTTCCCTAAGATCACAACAACTGCTGCGGTTGCTGTGTGTCACATTCCCTGTATGAATACTTCAAATACAATGGCATTTCCCAGAGCCACCATTCTGGTTGGTTCACATATCGTAAAACCATGCAGTGGTTGGCCCATTCATATACTTTCTGTCAAGTTAGTGGTGTTTTTTATTGAATCCTGCACTAGGGAAGACTGGTTTTGAAATGAGCTGTTCCCTAGCAGTAACCTTGTCTCCCTGCTTGGGAATCTGGTCATCAATCAATGTGAAATGCAGGTGCTACTATTTCCCTTTTATTTTCTTCTTTCTGATCCGGTCTCACTTTTAACTACCCACAAGGAATACCCTTTTTCTCAAACAGGTGGAGGTGAACCTGAACAACTCCCTATCAAACCGGGTCTGTCAGTTGGTTTGATACCCAAAATGAGAAACAAGCAAGCCTGTTCAAAGTCTTTGGGGCTCAATAAATTGAGGAAATATGTTATGCTGAGAAACTCAAACCATGGATGACAGGCACTGCGCAGTCTTGCAAAGGACAAAAAGACTGAACACTTCAATCACTTATCCTAGAGCTCTCAACAGGACATGTGACTTCACTACCACTGGGAAACAAGGAGCAATCACTGTCAGATGAACAGAAAGACTGATCACAGGGTACTACTCTGTGGCAATCAAAGTAGAGAGACCAGTAAAGGAAAAAAAAAATTTGATTCTTTTAAATTCTTTGACATATTTCTGGAAATGTTGAGCAACATCCAGCAGTGGGGCCTTCCCCAAAAGACAGTTATTGAGAATTGGACAAAATTTTATACTCTAAATTGGCATGGAAAATAACCTCTGAGAGAAACTGCCCCTCTCCCTTTATTGGATCAGAAAAGAGTATAGTTGCTGTAGAATTGTCTCCTCTTACGTGTATTAAGTATGGTGCTTGTGATGATACTGCACCAGTAAATTCAATTTGCAGCAGTAATAGATGTTTCAACAAACAGAAGGCAAAACAAGATAAACACATCATCAATAGAAATTTTATCAAATGATTCCTCTTAATATTAGAATAGACTTGTTTATTTCTCTAATGAAAAGGGTAAAATATCTTCTCTAAGATGTGCCCTGTCCCCATACTGTGACACCTCCAATGAGTGACATTTTCTCTGGCATTTCTTTTTTCCATGGATGCCATAAAGTGCACCGCATGAATATGAAGTGACATCTTTACTAACATGTGGTACTTACTTATCTCCCACAATTCCCAAGTTGATTGTTGGATAGCCATGTTCTTGGATTGTAGCTAGGAGAGTTGAACGGTTACTGTCCCGAATCTTTCCTGGCAAGAGGTCATCTTCAGGATTCAGTAGCTATAGAACCAGAAAAACTCTCAGTCAGTCTCCTTGGAATACCATGCCTTTACACAAGTGAGAATTTTCTTCTTCAGATTGGGCAGGATATTTTTAGACACCTATCATAAAATATATGTGTAAAGTGAATTTAAATTAAAAGATATGTAATGTGCTTATTTAGTCCAATCCTCCATGTTGCTTAGTTTGTTTCTATTGGTTCGTGTCTGCAAAAACTTCTTTCTCCTTATGAGTACCTGGCTTCTAATCTCAAACATTAGAAATCAAAACACAAACTTTAAGTTTCCAAGTTATTGCTTCTATTTAAATGGTTTTAAAGGAACCTCATTGATGTTGCTAACCAGACTTAAAGGTATTAAAAGAAATTTTGAAGTTCATTGTCTACTTACCAGTAAAGATGTTTTTTAAATACAACAATCTGTATTGGAATAGTAGACAGAAGCTTAAAGCTTGGTTCTTACATCAATTACTGTTTTGGATGAAAAGCTTTCTCTCAAGATAGTATCATGGCAATTGCCTTACATGTGTTACATATTTTTGGAAGTTAAACTACAAAACCAACATATGTAAACATATATTTTACATATATTAGAAATTCTTTTGTAGGACACAGAAGGACAACACAATATTGACAGGAGGTAAATAATAGTAGTAACAATGTATCTGTCAAAATTACAACAATAGTGTTAGGTAGTAAGGTAAGAATAACGAAAAGTGGAGCATGGCTAAACTTTGATGCTTTGGCTAGCAGCTCTATTTCTGTGAAGATTTCCATAGGTTGTTTAAAAAACCTACTGTGCAGGATCTTTTTTAACACATGATACAAAAGAGAGTGCCCACATCAGTAAAGGACCCTTTAATGACATGCAAGAATCTTCAGTCATACAAAAGATACTATTCAGAAAATCATCACCTGTAATTCTTGTAGCTCTTTGGATTTGTTCTTTGGTTAGCGGTATGTTTCCTGCACGACACACCCTGCCTATGTTATGAAATCTGGCAAGATTCTGTCCCAGCAAGGCTGGCCTCAGCCACCCAGTAGTCACAGAGTAACCTTCAATGGGGTTGTGGAAGTTGTAAGGACACCACCAGATGACAAAATTCAACATATTAAAAGTTTTCAAAATCTTTCAAAATTCAACATATTCAAGCTGTATGAGAATACAGCTATTGGGTTTATGTTTGTGTCTGGATTTCAAAAAGTTTGTCTTAAAAGACAGTCAAAATTATAGGTCAAACTGTCTTTCAACTGACTTTATCACAACCCACAAGTTCTTTTGCTTTTGCTCTTCCTATTCTCTCTCTGTGCTGCTGCAGGAAGGAATGAGCAAGCATAGTTGCTGGCTGGGGTCAACCCACAACATATGTAAAATTAGTAAATTAAGTTAATCTTGAACCTGATTTTTCTGATGTAGTTAAGACAAAGCAATTAGAAAGCTGGTCTGGAGTTCTACCAACAGGAGGTTGTCTGGATTTCAACATGTGCTACTATTAAAAAAAAAATCAAGGCACAATACTACAGCAAGGCATTTGGTAGTACTATTCAGTTTTCAAAGACGGGTTATCTGCCATTTGCACTGTAGCTACAGAGGAGGGCTGCTCAAAAGAAATACACTCTTCCAGTCATGACTGGCAGTATGAATTACAACCCTGACTACTCCACAGGTCCTCCCATGCTGGCAGGAGGAAAACAGCTGGCACATGGTTGGATACATTACCAAAATTTTGGCAAAGACAGTGTGTGAGACTTGTGAGAGAGCCCTCGAGGGAGAAAACACAAGCAGCTGATTACGGGTTGATCACTCACAAAAATACCTCATGTCAGCAGGAGCTGCAGCTCAAAAAGTGAGTCTGCTTGGGAACAGGGTGGAAGTCACTATCCAAAACACTGTCCCCAAGAAGATATAGTAATTCAGAGCTTGATTCTAAACATACTTTTCTTACCTCATTCCCCGTTGACATGACTGCAACCACTGGAAACTTGTTAACTTCTACTTCAGTTACTCCAACAGTTGCTAAGAGACCAATCTCAGATGGACCCATGTGGGTTCCTTTAGCCAGCACACATTCACCTCTTTTAATGTCATGTCCTATAGGTCTGAAAATCATAGCACAGAAAAAAACGAAAGAAAACCAGAATGAGATTGAAAGTATCTTTTCTTGATTGGTGCTGCTCCAGGTAAGGAGTGTCCAGGGATGTTCATTAGTCAGATTGTCAAAATGTCAGTACTACTTATGGTTAAAAAATGACTATAAAAATCACCAGCCCTTCTATTCCTTACAGAGATATTTTACTGTTTATAAAGTAGACTGTTTACAGACCTGATATCTTGGCCTGGTCGAGCCTGCACCAGGATTCGAACCTCTAGTTCTTCAGTGCCCTACAAAAACAAGGAGATCAAATACGGTCAGCTGGGCTATTCGAAGAAGATTAACCAGCTTCAATTTCTCAGAAGTCTACACAGCTTACAGTACTTATTACACTGAGACTTCATGGTTTAAGCATCATCATTGTTCTCCTGATGTGTGTGTCAAGATTGTAATACAATGCGTGCTAAAACTTTATATGAACAGCTTTATAAGAAATTCCCTGTTTGATGAGCTCACCAGGGAAGGACCAACACTGAATACGTAGGTTTACCTTACTTTTATTATGATCCCTGTGCTTATATATCTTTCCTATGTTACATCCTATGTTTGTCTGTTAATCTGGTATACCGAGTAGATTCCTTCTACTCCTCTCAGTCAACTTGATCTGCTTGAACAATTTCAAAGATGGCATTTCAAAAAGACCAGTAGTCTGCCAGACAATATGCCACTAAATCCGCAGAAAGGTGTGAAGAAGCTACATGCTCTAGCTGTTTCAGGGTTTTCCTGTGTAGATCCCTGCAGTGGAAACTCCTACTTGAGAGCCTTGTACAAATCAGAATGAGGCTTATTCATCATGTTTATTTACTGTGAACAAAAGACAGTGGCCTGGAAAGTCTGATGCCTACTTTAACATTTGTGTTTACTTCTTCAGAATTTCGATGGTTTGGTGATTCATTCAATCCCAATAAATGGCACACGACCTATATTGTTAATATTTAACTTACAAGCCCTGCAAGTGGGTTGATGATATATACACTCAGCTTTGAGATAGTGCCAGCCTGTCAGTAGCACTAAATCTACACTTACTTAGACTGAACAGATTTTGTTTTTACATTATCATGTAGTGCTTCATACTTTAAGTACCTCAGAGTTATAAATCAGACAAGACAATATTACAAGACAAACAACGCACGCCATTGTCATTTGGAATTTTTACAGGAACAAAAGTGTTGTATAGGACACTGGGACTTGTGTCTTTTCTTAAAGGTGATATGGACTGCATTTTCTGAGTTCAAACCAAGTGCTTTAAACTAAAGGCCTCGAAGTTAAAGTTAATGAACCTGTTGTTACAAATTGTGATTCTGTTTACCTACTGTGACAATGGATAAATTTAAACGCCTGAAAACCAGGAAATGACTAACAAAAACATCAACCCTGAAAAAACGGATTTCTTACTTTATCACAGTATTTTCAAAATATGCTTTTAATGCAAATTCTGTTTCTTTTATTCATACTCTTCTTGTATAAGAGAACAGACTATTTTTGGCTGCTAGTGTCCAAAATGGCTGTGCTGGTGCCCAGGATCTTCTTTTATCTCCCTTATCCCCTTCTGAAGCTGTAAAAGACACTTTATGCTTGTGATGAAAATCTGGGGCAACAGTTAGTCTAAGAATTATTTTATTTTTATGACACTCTGGAGATGGTTGGCCAGTCATGACGATTTTAATTTTCCATATCTTTGATAACATTTAAAGATAGCTAGGAAATTTCTAGGGAATCAAGAGGAGTGCCAATGATATATCTGAGTAATAGAAAAGGTCCTATTTAGGACTCCTGGATTAAGGGAAACAAGAAAAAAAAGGCTTTTGAGGAATTTAGTAATCCCAGGTTTTAAAAGCACTGTGGAAAGTGTGACTGTGGACAACATGGTGATGTGCGGAGACTGTTATTTATGGTACTGATGGATATCCCAGATAATTCAAGGTGGCTAGAGGCAGGGCTTGCAGGGAGGTATGGCATTATGCTGAGAACATCTTCCACTTGATGTGTATCAGACAGCATTCTTCTTGCTGTGTATTAATATATTTTGAACTATGTCCGAGTGGTTTACTCTGACAGTTGTTAACAGCCAGCATCCATACTGATATACTGATGTTCGGTCTTGATGTAAGATCTAACTCTTGTTTTGGTTGGTCACATTGGCCTCCTTTTTCCTACAAAGTGACATAAAAACTCAAAATGAAAAGGCTGTAGACATGTTTTTGCAAAGATCTTTCTCAATGATTGTACATTTGGCAAGCTGATGAGAATTTTTCTTCCTGCTGGATAGATGTAATTCCTTTCAGGCCTATGATTTCTACAGTCATTTAGGGAATGTTTGCTATGATATTTAAGTACTGCTACCACAACTAGAGGTCAAGGAGCTCCTTTTAAAAGTACTTTCTGTCTTTTCAGAAGAACATTTTTCAGATGTTAGAGATTTCATTTCAGTTAAATCCCAGCCCTGAAGGAGTTCTTAACACTAAGAAGAAAAATATTCTTGAAATATGTAGCCACCCAGACATGAAAAAGGAGAGAAAAATAACATATTAATTAAACTATACTAATTATTTATGTACAGGATTAGCAGAGTGGCATATTCAAGGACAAGTAGAAACTAAGAGTTCTACCTCACACTTATAGGCAAGAAAAGGAAGCGGAAAGTGGCTGACCATTCACTAAAAAAAAATCAGAGTTTAAGCACATCGCCAAATAATGTCATCTCACATGCAGAGGAGAACATGCACAGAAAAAGTGGAATCCAGGAAAGCAGTCATCCAAAGAAGAAGTAGAAAATAACAGGTTATCATGTACGTTGCTCTGCAGTGTGATAGTCCTCTCATGATGAGGTGGGCAGTGGCCACAGAAAACTTGCTCAGTAAGGCTAACGGAACGATTAACAAGCAGTGAAGGCAATGGTGTATTTTACGGGAAGATAAAATCTACACATACACATCTGTAACCTCAAACCAGGACTGACTCAAATTCTCTGTTAGGAAGAAGGTCAGCCTAGACAGCTTGCTCACTTCATCAGATGTAAAAATTTATGCATTTACAGTAATAAGGCATGAGAAAGGATAGTGAGAGTATGTTTCAGTTTTTGCCGTCTTCATCAGCTTTGAACACCAGAATTCATCTGCTTACACCCCAGCTGCAATCGCAATGCTAGCACAGAGCTATGGCGAAGTGGAACAGCTTGTCAGAACAGCAGCAGAGGAGCAAAGGCTGATTTGAGCAGAGAACCATGCACACACTTCATTCCAAAACTGAACTTGGAAGCTGTGACAATAAGAGACGTATCTTCTTGCCTTAAAATCTGTCAGATGATGGCAAACATGACGATGGTGTCCTGAAATCACAGCTGGGTAAGTGAAGGTAATGATTCAGAAGGAATTCTCTGAACTCAAAAGAAGTCTAAGATGGGCTGTTTGGGATACAGTTGTCTACAGACAGCTCCTGTGCTTCATCAAAAAACACATTTTACTTTGTTAAGACAACTGTGCGTACAGAATTAGTACTGCAGTACTCATATTTTTTCTGTGGTATTCTGCAACATCTGTAAGGTAGAGCGCTAGTATGATTTATAGGTATGCTGGAAAATCTGTTGAAATTAAACAGAGTTAAGACTATGTTCTGGGGGAATATGCACCTTATCCACTTCCTGGTTTTCAGAGGTCTTAAATTCAGTAATTTTCTCATTTCAAAGGAGCACAGAGGTCTATCGAAGAAACTTAGTTATGGCTTAAAAAAATTTGGGGGGCACTTACTTCCCCAATTACATAACAAAACCCCTTATTCTAAACATACGCCTTTATTGTAAGGTATGTACACAAGACATTTCTCCAAAATCCACCAAATTCACCTTTGCTGAAACGAGACCAAATCTGATAATACAGAACCATCTTCATAGCATGGTTCAAAATAATCCAAGTCATCCCTATTTAGCTTTAATTACATCAGCGGTAATGCTGCACTGTAATATTTCAATGTATTATTCTGGGATCAATATGTCTTTTAAGAAAACTTTTCCCCTTCTTACTCGGTGAGTTTAGGAGAACTTTTGAAGTCCTCATCTTGCTGAGTTTCAGGATGATCCTGAAATATAAAGAAGATTGCTCTACTGCTAAATGTGAACTCAGTAGAAAAGAAGGAAATATAGTATCTGATTGCCACTATGTATTTTAAAATGTGAATACACTAGGCACTCAAATTGGACTGTAGTTATGGATCTCCAGGAGGCATTTGCCTTTCACTCAAATCATGCTCCCAAATACTCTGGTGTCAGCATTCAACAACTGTGATGAAGAATCAATGTCAGGACAGGCAGGTCTGTGGTTCTGTTATCACAGCCTGAAAAAGTGAGTAAAATTGCCACTAGGAACTGATGCGAAAATCCTCAAACTTCTGAGATTAACAGAAGAGCTTTTCTGTAGTTCTCTGCAGGACTACCTTTCATATTTACAGGATTGTATCATGAGCCATTTTCTGCTGCACACAAAAGAAAAATGAGTTTTAACTTGTGACTCACATCATCTGATTCCCTGATGAGCTCTGTATCTTCCACTTGCACCACTGCATCAGCACCACATGGAATTGGAGCACCGGTTGTAACGCGCATTACCTGACCAGGCATCACAGTCTGAGTTGGCTGAAAAATAAACAAACAAAAATTAATTTACTTTTGAAAAGAAAAATCTCAAACCATTTGGACTTTTTGGAAGTAATCTGAAAGACTAAAATTCTTATTTGTGGCATGACTCTTGATATACTGCTAGTGATATCAACGGGTATAAACGCCAATGTATTTAAAGATCATTAGGTCATTGCTTCAGATCTGGTCACATATTAGGTGGCTTCAGATTTTTCCCCTTAGATATCTATCACAAGAATAACTTTCAGAAGAAGCAATATACTGATACTCTGGTTGGCTTAGAAAAATAACTGGCTCAGAAATATAACAGTTAGATGGTGACCTTCTAGAAACTTAGATGAGCAAAAATCTAGTAGTTCTCTATACATAAATATTTTTGCAGAGTACTTTGGTCCCCAGAGTTGAAATTTCTTTGCTTTGGTTTGGTTGGGGTTTTGTTCTGTTTTGTTTTACCAGCACACTATATACGGAAAACCAGCAGCCTGGAAGTAAACTAATGTAACCAGCTGCTTCATTTTTAAGCAGATTTCCTCACACTGAGAGACAGCTCAACACTAGTTCACATAGAATATCTATCTTTGTGCAGGTCAGTTTAGCAAAGCCTAAAATTGGTAATATTCTACAATTCTGTAAAGTCACAGTACATTACAAAGTTTCAGCAGAAGCAATACAAAGAATAGAAAAATATCAGAACAACATGATAAAACAAATGACATGGTTTTAATAAAATTTCTCACCAGGCAGCCTATTTTAATACACATTTCTCAAAATCCAGAGTAAAGTTGTAATCATAACCGCTTAAGAAATAACTAACTAAAAGAAAAATCTTTCTAAAAAAATGCAACTAAAAGAAGCTGGTATGATGATCGAGATTTCATTGCTGGAATATGAGCGCTTGTTCCCCGCAGCACTTCAGTAAGCCCAACTTAATTAGGCTTTACTGTTATTAGTGAACATGTGCTACGCGCAGATCTACACAGCTGTGATCAGACCAACATATTCTGTACGTGTCACACGTATAATTCATGTGCAGATTGACTCTATATTCCATATGCAGCACTGGAATATATCCAGGACTTCTCAGACAGTGATTAGCACATCTTTGATAGCAGCCCACAGACCTGCAAGCAGTACTGCCCAAGCATGATTACCTGCTCCCGCCCAGCAGCCATTTACTCCCTGACTTTTGACAGGAGGCTGTTAGACATCTGCAAATTCTAGGCCAGTGGCCAACGTTTCAGCTGCGCAAAGCTGTGTTTGCCTTGCCCATTCTTCTACTCCGTTTCAGCACTGTGATAACCTCTGAAATGTGAGTATTACTTTGAAAGGTGTGTATTTTAAAGGTTGCTCATTGGGACAGAAGCCCTAGGGAGAGGCTGGAAATGGTTTGTACCATTGTACCACAGTATCACAGTGACCTGCGTATCCCGAGAAACAACTGAGCCCGGAGTTGATTGAATCCTGACCCTTTTCTAAGAGTAACGGAAATCTAACATCCTTTGAGAAGAACATAAATGAAATGGTCAAATAAACTAAAAAAAAGATCACTCTTGCCATATGCCATGGTTAGTGTGTCTTTAGGGCAAGATTCATGTTATCCTAAAGCAGGTATCTAAAACAGATGACATAAAAATAACACTTTTTTTTTATAATGGTATTTATTTCTCACCACTGACTATACAAGGAGCTGTGGATGAACAGCTGAGATGCTGCCATTTATACCGAAGATGCTTAAAAGTGAAAATAATCTTGTCTAGTGTCTTATTTTGATTTTTATGAAAACAAATATTGCAAAAGGCAAAGCTTATGCCTTGGATTATGGGAGCTGTTTTGCATATTGTTGTAGATGTAGTCTATAGGCACATTACAAATAGGTAATATTGTTTGAACTTACTGAAGTATTGATGTCTTTAGTGACAATTTTTAGAGGAACAATGTACTGCATAAAAAAATTCTCCCATTTAAAATGCAGGTTTTGGGCCTCAAGAACCACAAAGAATGAAAAATGTCTAGGACTCTGCCAGAAATCAGTGTCTATGGTGATAAAATGCACTGTAACTATCCATGCTTTTGGAGTTTATTACTAGATGAGTTAATTTTTTGAGGTGTAATGATGTGAAACATTTAAACAAATTTATGATACAATAACAATTGCTTCTAGAATTGGTTGCTCATATATTTAATTTCCTTTTTGTCCTTTGAGAATTCGATCAGATTAACTTTATGAACAAAAGTCAACCATCAGATCTGTGTGTGAATCTCCAGGGCTGTGTTCTTCTGTGCTAGAGACTATGAAGATGAAGAAATGATTCCTTCTCAGAAAGCATATTAATGTGCAACAATTTCACAGAAGCTCTTTTAAAGGCCTTTGAGATCTCACACTTATCTGGAATAGGGCAGTACTGGGTTCTGTCCTTTGCCTTCATCACTGATAATCTATTTAATGTTAGTCACTGAATAAAAAACAGAAGTAATCTATTGAGCACAGCCCCCATCTCAGGCATTTTCTCTCGCACATGATTACACCTGTCCTGCGTGATTTACAATAATCCGTGCTCCTTTCTGTAAAAAGGCCCAAGTTAATGGAAGGGTGAAAAATGTCTGTTTTTCATCCTGTATTATAGCTGGTTAGTCACAGTGCCTCTTAAAAACGTCTTTAGAAAATCTTCCAGGAAATGCTAAGCTCCAGCTATGCAAGTCTACAGGAAGAAAATCATTGCTCCCCATGGCTGAGTTTTTCACACAGAGGCCATGTAGATGGCTCGTGACTAGTACTCTCAAATGTGCCGTAATCTCCCCTAAGCAGGATCGTGCCTGAAAGTTTTCCTCAATACGAAATAAAAAATCGTTGTTCACATAAACACGACCATCTGGAAATGGAAATCAGAAAATAATACACAATTTACAAATTGAAACAGAAATGTCCAACTTGGCTATATGGCCTCTCTGCAATTCTCAGTCCTATTTTCTTTCTCTCTGTGTAGCATTTACATAACCTTTTCCCCTACAGGAGGAACCAAATCTAAACCTATTTTGAACTCCCTGCTGTGAATCACTCTGTTAATTGGTCTGTAACATGAAAAGCAGAATGTTGCTGCTGAGAGTGACTGAAGGGTGAAATGAGACTGAGGAGCCTTCCAAGGCTGTAAATAATTTCTTGGGAAGGAGATGAACCTGAAGATGTGTTGGCCCAAGAAAAAAAACTTTGACCAATTATTCATAGGTCAACAGCCTCATTTTTTTAACTCGCCACTAGTATTTCCAGAATTATTCTCTCTCTGTGTGCCTCCTCCCACCCAATTTTTGTTCCTTGCCAGAGAGGTTTCCCATTCCCATTAATCTGGGAGGACAGACTGTCCCTGCAGAGAGACATTTGTAAGCTCTTGAATTTTGTAGGAGGGAAGCAAGCTCCCATTTCCCCTTTTATCCTTTGTATAAAGCTGCTGAACTGATAAGGACACTGAAACCCTTTAGACCTGTGGGCAGTCCTTGCCATTAGACACAGCTTCAACGGTACTGTTTTTAAGCACCACTGTGCTGTGATATTTTTTAACTAGCAAAATGATAATATTGATGACTGGTGAATAATGATAGGAGCGATAATTCAGCAGGTTTTTCTGCTGGTTCTTGCTATTTTATAGTGACCATAAAAAGGGTTGTAGAAATAGTTGTCAGTCTTTCGGATTCTGGACTAACGCTTGAAAATGCAGACAGAAGAGCTAAAAATCCAAGGCAGGTGAAATTCTTTAGTTTACTTTTTTTAGTATTTAAAGTAATTTTACATATTTTGTATAACAGATTCATTAATCTAAGATCATGTGAATATCAGTATTGAGAAGATGTCTATTACACCAAAGTATAATTCATGATGGTGGATGGGAACTACAGCAAAAATTATTTTCATCGTTCTCTGTACCTATCATGATTAGTCAAATTAAATGTCTATTATACATTTAGAGGCAGTTCAACTCAATTTTTAAAAAAATGGAACAATTCTGTACCTGGTAATACTTCTAAAACCTGAAACCACTTTTGAAATGCATCTATTTTATTCGAGACTTTTTTGTTTAGCAGTCAAAATGGCCACACTGTAAATTCCTCATTAAAAGCAATCAATCCTTTATTTTGCCTGTACTTATTCCATTTCTGCATTATTTCACATACTATACTCAGAATTATAAACTGGGACTTGAAATAGCTGGAGAAACATTTTAGATTAACCCATGCTCTCCTGAAAAGAAGGTAGCAGGTACAATTAAATTGACAGAATAAAAAAAGTGGTTGAATGCAACTGATTTTTTTCCTACCACCCCAGTATTGGTACAGGAACTTTATCAAATGTACTCTTGAGTTTGAGAGCAAATCCCAAATAGTGTCCATTCATGAATAGTTATACAGCACAGCAGGTCATGAAAGGATGCTGCCCTGACTTGTTCTTAAACTCAATCCATGTATCTGCTAAGGTGCACAAACACTCTTTTGATTTAGCAAACAGAAAAGGAGCAATACCGCAAAGTAGGCTGCTGCCAGGCTTCCTCAAGATTGTTCTGATCGTTACCTACCTCTAAAGGCTTCATACAAAATTCTTACACTTTGTTTTGCACGTTTCAGCGTGACATATGCAAGCAGCTTGTGGAAACAGTTACTGGGCTAATGTCCCTTTTAAAACCTGTCAGCAAGAAGGGGTTAAATCTTGTCTTTCCCTGTTTATGAATTGTAACGCCACTAGAAACCTTATGTCTTCTTACATTGTACTAGGGCAGAACTGTATGCACTCCTATCGCACAGGCCAGCACAATGCTCTGAAGTATTTTGGGATATCCTTGTTAGTTCTTTATGTAACCGCACAACCTCACTTTCTGAAGTCATGTCCCAGGGTACGTAGCAGGAGGCTAGGTACAGCTGTGTCCTACTTCATGCCACCTCCAAGAATATTGAGTTTTGGAGCACTAGCAAGGCTTGCAAAAATACAAAGCAATATCTTACAAAAGAAAAATACATTAAAAAAAAAAGAGAAAAGAAATTGTGCTCACCTGCTCACCAGCTTGGGATTCCCCTATGATGAATCGATCTCCTGGGCCATCAGCAGCTGTTAAGATGGACAACACAAATGGTAAAGGCTGAACCAAAACAAACGATGGCATTAGAAGTTAAGAACCAATGAATGATCTAAGATTCAGTTCTTCAGTGTCAGCATGACAAAGGTTATAGAAGTTTTGCAAACATTTTACACTTTAGGTCCTTTTAAGTTGTGTTTATGATTTTGAAAATTACAGGTTTTAGTACTTTTAACTGAAAACTTCTCAGCAATATGGGATCAAGTAAAAGGAGATTAGGAGGAATTATATTAATAATAAAGATTTAAAAGTGTTCATGAGATTATTTTTATAAAAATGTCCACTGTGAGCAAATCTTTTTCCATGTCAAACTAACACTGGGGAATCACATATTTTGTGAGTGTATTACATATCTTTTATCTAGACAACAATACTGACATTTCTAGATTCTATCTCTGCCTTTGGGGGAAAACGTGGACAAGTGCAGTGGTTACAGACTGTGTAGATGACCATACAGGTTTGGCATTTCCTGAAGAGCACTAGGGCTAAGATAATGCAACTTGGACTGCCACATTAGAAGTCTGAGTTCTGTTCCTTTTTGTAATTTTAGGAGGTAGCACTGCTCTAGCTACCTTCTATCTTTCACTGAAGCCATTCTGAAAATTCAGTCTGAGATCATTGATTTAACAAACTGAAAGCCTCCAGGACTTCTAATTTAGCCAAATCTGTATTTTTACAGGGACAACAAAGGCAACATTACTAACGAAGCTTAACCTTCTGCCTGCCTCAAAGGTCGTTCAGCAAGCTGCATTAGCGGTATTACAGGCTCTACCATGGTGTAAAGCATGTATGGAGCACAAGCAACTCTGCCTGTCCAAGCACGGCAGGCATGCTGTCAAGAGTGTTCAGACAAACTGGGTTCACACAATCACATTTAAATATGTCTTTTCATTAATTTTAAATCTGTTACTGTCAAAAGTTGATTTCCCAGAGATGAAGTCTAATCAGTGACAACCTTTGTCTTAATACTTTATTTCAAAAGCCCTGAATATACAGCTAGATAACCTTATCATATTGAGAAGAATTGCCTTCAGGAAGGATGCCCATTCAGTCTGTATAATGACTTATCACATTTGTACTCATACATCAGCTCCAACTCTGCAGATGATGATCTATGGTACTTAGTCATGTTTGAAGACTAATGATTAACTTAACTTTAAAAGCCTATCAAACAGCCTAATCTATGAACTTTAGAACAAACTCTAAAATACGAAAGTGGAAGAGGACTCTTCAACTACTTGTCTTCGAATAATGCATATAATACTGCTGAATACAGTCGTCACACCTCCACTGAAAAAAATGCACTGGGATGATCCAGCAAAAGAAGAGAAAAAATTCCCTAATAGCTACATTATTTTAAACCTGATAAAATGCTACTGAATTAGATTTTATTCCCCCATTAATAATGATATGGAGACAAAGTTTACAGCTGATGTACAACTGATATAGCTTGAAAGAAGTGGACAAGGTTTTGGGCACACAGGTTTATGTGACTGAAAGCTAATCCTTTATTTTTTTGTAAGAATTATCTGTTTATGTAAGAATTATCTGTTTATTTATATTAAATATTATTTCTGCCTACAAGCTTTGTTTCTCATATTCTGAGATAACAGGTCTACAAGAACAATAAGAATAGAATAGAATAGAAGAGAACAGAATAGAATGGAATAGAAGAGAACAGAATATTGCAGTTGGAAGGGACCTACAACAATCATCTAGTCCAATTGCCTGACCACTTCAGGGCTGACCAGAAGTTAAACGAAATTATTAAGAGCATTGTCCAAATGCCTCTTAAACACTGACAGGCTTGGGGCATCGACCACCTCTCTAGGAAGCGTGTTCCAGTGTTTCACCACCCTCTTCGTAAAGAAATGCTTCCTAATGTACAGTCTAAACCTCCCCTGGCACAGCTTTGAACCATTCCCACGCGTCCTATCACTGGATCCCTGGGAGAAGAGATCAGCCCCTTCCTCTCCACTTCCCCTCCTCGGGAAGCTGTAGAGAGCAATGAGGCCCCCCTCAGCCTACTTTTCTCCAAGTTAGACAAATCCAAAGTCCTTAGCTGCTCCTCAAAGGACACTCCTTCCAGCCCTTTCACCAGCTTTGTGGCCCTCCTCTGAACGCATTCAAGTACCTTTACTTTTACTCTATTTGAATCCACCGCCAAAATTAGGGTCTTGTGTGTTGGTTCTGACAGAAGTTGTTGAAGACGGTGTTCATGATCATTCTGCTCATTCTGCATGTTTACTGAGATTGTACTTGTGCTTTCCCTTACCTTGTAGCAATCAGGTTGCCAGACAGCATTTGCTTGATCCCAAGGCCCTTGTCAGTCAGCATTCTACTCAGAGCTCCCCCTCTCAGCTTTTCTCAGCGTTATATTACCTGTATTTCTCTGGCTACATCTGCACTCCCTTGCCGCTGTTACTGGTCATTTTGGTCTGTCTGTCTCTCACACACATAGATGACAGACAGCTGCAGTCAAACTCGTCTTGTAGACCTGGAATTTTATTTTTATATCAAATCTATGGGGGAGCTATTGGACTACATCCATTGCCTGGGTTTGCAGACAGTCTATTTCATGGACAGTTGCTTTCCATTGTTTCAGCTGCCAGTAACAAAAAAGATATTTTAATGTCCCTAGAAGAAAGTCGGCTATTGTGACCAAAGTCCAACATAGTGTTACGATGATTGAACCCCTACCACAATGAAATCACTACTAGTATAATGTTCAATCATATATATTTTAATTTTCCTCCACAGATATCTGAGGTGAATATCATTAGTCTTACTTTACAAAGGGAAAAACTGATGCACAGAGAAGCAACTTGCTCAAAATCATGCAGCACCTAGTGGCAAAGCAGAAGATGGATTCAGGTCTCCTGGGAAACCACTCACTGCTTGCTCCGTAATGTCACACTACTCATTTTATTTATATACAGCAACTGCAATATTTTCAAAGTAAAAATGAGGTTTTCTTTTGAGGTGCTTCTATAAAAGTACATTCTGATATGTGTTTTTAAAAATTCTCTAATGCAATCATAAAATCATAAATAGGAAGCTGGATCTGTGACAGTTCAACAAAGGAACAGATATGTAAGAAATTCCTGATTAAATCAACAACAGAGGAATAGAAGAAGAATCTGTCTTTCAGAAACAGATGTTCTGTTACTCTCTTGAATTCTTTATGTTTCCAAGAAACTCACTAGAAACACAGGTGCATGTCTATGAGCACACATGGATGTACATTTGCTCGTGTACATATGTATCCACTTAAAAGATCTGAATTCACCTTTATGGTCTTCCTTCAAGACAGCTGCATTCTATGTAACTGTGACTTCAGCAATGATCTGAATCAAATCTCAACCAAAATAACCATTGCTGGACCAAAATAGGTAAACTAACATGTTATAATAAAGTGGTTTTACAGCCACTATACTGCATGTCTACAAAGTGAGCGTTTACCTCTGACAGCGTAGCCGTCTTTTACTGATGCTGGAAATGGTGGTAGATTATCTTTTGCATATACATCTTGAGCAAGGACTCGGCCCATTCCATCTAGAAGAGAGAAAAGAGAAAAGACCATGCTCCATGTCATTACAGCTAGTGAAAGGGAAAAAAACAGTGAACAGCAGTGTGCTCTGATGGATGAAATGTATGTGTATGTGACATGAATAGACCTCTCATGTTTTTAATTTCTGCCTCTACATAAATGAAAAAAGACTGGAGTCTGAAAGTACTGATGAAAGATTTGTTCAGTAAGTCTGTGTTCCTGGTTACGGTGAAATTGTTGACAGAAGGTCTGAATGCCAAGTACCCAAACCCAGAGGTAATGGCTCTGATATAGGATCAGACAGAAAAAACAAAGTATTTGTTTCTACAGGACAAGTTTTTCTCCTGAAATCTCTTAGAAATACATACGTTCCTGTATTTCAATTTAAAAAAAAAAAGTTCTTTTTTTTAAAAGCTTTTAAAATAACATTTCAAAAGTGAATCCTGTGTGCAAAAGGTGAGAGGTGATTGAGCCCAGAGGACTCAACATAAACAGCAACGATGGACAAGTTTCCATAAATTGACAAAGGAGTTTTGCAACAGATGAGCTTTGCCTAATTGCTGAGAGCATTTCTGCTTAATGGAGGGTGAGTGCACATAAGTGTCAGGATTATTTATGTAAATTTACGCTGTTATAGTTCTAAATAGTTTAATAGCTGTTTCAAACGTACTCCTTCCCTTCACTTAGCAACTATGACTGATGAGTTGTAAGTTGGCTCTGCCTCCCTGTAGACACTGATATGAATTACTTCACCCTCAGTCAAGTGTGCACTACTTGTTTGCTTTCATGGCACCAGCAAGAGCTTTTTTTTAGTATGATGTGGAACAGAGTAGAAAATATGTATCTTAGCCCTTCATACAGTGGGAGAGTGAGAAAGAGGATTTATTACATCATGATTAGATGGACTGGGAAGGGGCACATGGGTCAGAACTACTGAGATCAGCTTGATTCCAGCATATCTAAGTAGAAGAAGGGAAGCTCATCTCATAATAGAGGCCATTGCTCTTAGGAGTGTGTTGTGGCACAGGAAGGCAATATCCAGCTGAAAGGACGAAGGAATGAGAGGATGCATGAATACTTCTGCCAGGAGAATTTGTGTGGATATGTACTTTATAGATTATGATCTTTCAGACATGCCAAAAAAGAGACACATACATAAAGTGTGTTTCTTGTTTTACAGATAGGGAAATCGATGTGTTCTGGATTTGCTGGGAAGGCAGAAGACCTAACATTGTACACTAAATGGATAGGTTTTTTTAAAAAGTGCACCTACTTGATTTGAAAATGTTCAGCTCCAGTGAATTGGCATTATAACGGAGATTATATTTTACTTATTAACACAAAGTGATTTAGTTAGTAATTAATTACAATTATAATAACTATAACATCATTGTGCTCACATCCATATGTATCAACTTTCAGCCTGAGCTGAGTATTTATGTTGCATTTTTGAAATAGGTATTGCCATGAAAATGCTGATAAAGCCTGCTAAAGCAACTAGAAAAGCACCTTTGTGATGGCTACTAATACATCTGTGCATCATTGCGTATCACTGTCTGTGATACACAATATAGAAGTTATTAAAAAGCTCACAAAAGCTTGTACACTTGCACTGAAAAAAAGAATGCAGACACAGACATTTAAATTATGGCATAGAAAAGGCAGCTATCAAAGGCCTAGTAAAAACACCCTCTGTTCATAGACGCACAAAATCTCATACAAAAGTGATGCTTCTAATTTTAGCAGGCATGTTGTGTCTTCATTTTACTTCTTGTCTGCATGCAAAATCACACCAATTAGAGCAAAGTTGAACAGTATGTTCCTGGCGTTCTGCCACGCAGTATTTGAAGGGAATAAATGGCCAGCCAGTAGCAGGAAAAGGGGAGAAAAATGTAAGAATTATTTGCTGAAGCCTTAGGCATTTAAAATGAAGCAAGTCAGCAACTAAAGGACAATGTGAACCTCTGTACTCCCCTTTATTTGAGCAATTATTTTAGAAATACACTGTTTGACCTTATTTTGATTAATTGTAATTCAAAAAAGATGTTCCGAAATATTTTAATGTCATCAAACTGCCCTTTGTGCTGCCCGTAGCTTTCTGATTCTAGCACAAAATGGAGAATTACATTAAACTCACTTTTCAAATTTGGGTATTTTCTAAAGCTTAGCTGGTGAAACTGGTACAGTTCTGTGAAGAATTTTGATTTCTCAGGGTATTGGTACTGGGATAAAGCAGTGAGACAGGTATTGTACTAGAGGTGATGGATTTGCTCCCATTTTGTAAATATTGCCCTGGTTGCCCTTCAGTGTGATAGGAAAAGGCAATGCTATCAAAATAATCAGCTAGTTCAAAATGAATAAGCAGTGGAAAAAAATGTCCAAGCTCTACAGAAGTTATAGGGCTCTTGGACTAGATCAGAAAAACTGTTCCATTCTGAGTCCTAAGCCCATAAAGTGTGGATTGCCTCTGCTTTGTACTTTTAGTACCAATTAAACTTCCGCCTCTTCTTAGTTTCAGAAGAATAATCATTATCATGCTGTCTAAAAACTTAACCTTATATACCCATGGAGCAATGTTCAGGTAACTGCATTTAGCTGGAATAAAAGGCTAATTGTGGGCTTCATACCAGATATTGATGATGGCAGGTGGGAAATATGCTTCAGATGCCTTTGGTTTATGGCACTTTTGTAAAATGTTTTTGGACTGTCCATTTTTTTTTTTTAATATGGAAGAGGCTAAATGATCTATACAGGCACTGAGCAATACACTTACCAATGTGAAAGTCATGTTTCAAAAGATGACTTTACACATCCTCCCCCTTATGTTAGGAGACAATAGATTTGAGAGACTACAGCATGCCTTGACTTAATGAAGAATAAAGTCAGGACTGTACTGGTGACTTTTACAGAGTAACATTCAGCAGCTTTATTTATGAGGATGAATACTATGTAGTATGTTTAGCAATGTAAATAAATCAGGTTAAAATTAATTTGGTAATTTGTTAATGAAAAAAATTGCAATCTTAGAACTTTAAACATTTCACTTTCCTTACAGAGAAGTTGTGCTCCTGAAAGATAATTTTCAGGAGCTCAGTGTTAATTCAAGACACAAAACCACAAAGAAAACAAACACAGCACAATAGTGCTTTTCTGAGTACAGTTAGTTAGGATTCAGACCTCCAGGACTACATTTCTATGTTCTCCTGAAATTATAGGTTTATTAACTGAAAAATAAATGAATACATAACTAAATGAAAAACTGGTTCCTAATTTTTTTTTTAGCAAACTAATACATGTGCACACACATGCACACATACACGTATACATATATATGCCTATACAAAAAAATCCTATATATTTGTCTGTATAACACTACGGTGATCACTTAAGAACTCCTGAAAATGAGATTCCATCTTGAGATTTGTATCTGTAGATTAAGAAAATTGAATTTCCAGTACCACAGACACAGATGTGTCCTTTAGGATGTCTCCTAAAAGCTCAATCCTGAAATTTCATACTATGTATTAGGAAACCTTACAGTGCTACAATAACTGTATACTTGTTGAAAAATAAATTGCAGGATACAATTTTGCACTACAGTGCAAAAATATGAAGGAATATGTCTTTGTTAATATTTTTATTGTTGGTACTGCTGGTTTAATAGTCACATAGTTGGTATGTGATTATTAAACCAAGAATATATCTCTGATGATATAAGCTGATGATCTTACCACCTATCTTAACTCTTATTTTGGGTGGGAGGGAAGAGGGTCATAACTGAAGTGTCTCAGCAGACTCAGAACATTATTTTTTAAAGAATAACAGTGCCAGGAATAATAATCAATATGTTGCAGACTTAGAATCAGCCTGAATTTGATGTCAGTAATCAGGTAACATGAAGAGCAAAATGAAATATCAACTAAGATATTATAAAGTATACTAGAATACCTTCTCTTACCTTGACAGCATATTCCCATGTAGTGAAATAAGAACAGAAACAATCAAATTGCCTTTTTGACAAATTAGAGTATATAAAACTCTATAGAGAATATAAGCATCTAGCTAAGACCAATTACCTCCACATTCTGTCTCTTTAAGGACATTTTGAAGAGCAGGTAGTCTGAAGAGAATCACTGTTATTGGTATGGTAACATTATCAGTATTAACACAAAACTGTTACTTAGTCCATATTTTGAATGTTTTTTAATATTAAAATAGATTACATGGTGAAAGCTTGTCCAAAGCATGTTGCAGCAGGAAATTACATATCTGTGATTTTGTCTGATTTCACCATAGTTCTAATGAAGAAATTTACAAATCAGATATATGAAAAGGCTGCTACCTACTGTTGAGACAAATAGTTTACACAAAGACTGGTATATACATATAAATAGATGGCGACGTTATTGTTATATATATAAACATACATGTAGCATGTGAGGATTATTCTCTGTCTACCTAGAAAAATATTTTCAGCCACATTTTGTTAACTTCTAGGGAAAATACAGCTTCTGTCCAGAAACACAATGCAGCAACACAAAAGTGTTGTGAAACAGTATGTAAGCTTTCATCCAGAAGTGTAAAGGATAGAGAGATGGAGAAAAATGAAAATAAAGATAAAAGGACAAGAGAATAAGACATATTTATAGAATCAAGGACAAAAAAAGGAAAAATAACAGCTTATCAATACTTGTTTTTCCCCATAATCAATACAGCCCAAATTCAAGAACTTATTTCTTCACTTAGTTTTGCACTAGAGGCTTAAAAAATCAAAACTATTTTTATGTAAAAAAGAATAATAATGCTACAGTCCCTTATGTAGCAAAATAAACATATTCTGTGCTTATTTTTCAGGGAGGTACATACCAGACGTTTATCCTTTATTTCAGGAGTTCAGTGTCGTATAAATAACATCTATTTGGACTGAATGCACCTAACACTGTGGCTCATAATATTGTCCACAAAGTGCTGTCTTAGCAAAGACATTTAACTGACAGCTATCCAAAACGATCTAATAGCTATGCTCAGGCATTTAAACCTTAATGCCTTCTAATCTGCACACCATTATGAAAGTGCAGGGTATAAAATGCATATTCCTTGTTGATTCAGTATTGGTGCTGTTCTGAATGCAAGATATGCAGCATCTTCTCAGAGATCTGTTTCCTGCTACCAAGGCACAGGGGAGTGCTGATCTCCACTTGGAGCAACTGAACACACAGGTGTGATTCTACATACGGTCTGCTAACTCAGTATGTCAATATGAAGACATCTCAAACGTTTGTGGCAGCACAAAGATTTGGTGAAGAGCATGAAGACTTTGAACTTTCAAGCCAGAAGACAGAAGACCCCATTCAGAAACCATTTGTACCTCTCTGCTATCTGGAGGCCACTGATGTCCTCAACATTTTGCCTCTTGAGGCTTGTGGTTCCACTATCTCTTTGCTCACCACCTTGCCTTTGCAAAATCTGGAGGAATCTCTGGAGGAGGTTTCCTTTTCCCTGCCTACTTTAGGACTACTTGTCAGCATGCTTCCTGTCATGGTTTTGTTCTGTGCCAAGAACAGTCTCCCAGATAATGCCCAGGCTTGGTGTAAGGGATAGCAGAAGCACGGGAGACACTTAATAGGCATTATGAACACACTGTTTCAGGAAGGAGGATAGTTTAGCTGAATAAACATGAGAGGTGCCCTCCTAATTCCTTTTAAGGCCAGAAAATGGTTTCACCTATCCCCATTTATTTACAAGTATAGACACAGTCACAAAGTCTGGCCTTTTGCCTGCTGTTTGGTGCCTTTTAAGACAACCTCACTGTATAAATCAGTAACAGTTACCCTTGATTATAAAGTTTCAGTAAATCAAACATTAAATGCAAGTCAGTATCAGAAAAGGATCAACTGTAGTGGTAGAATAGAAAGGGAATTATGTTGCGCTTATGAGGAGAAGGGGCAAATTCTGGAATGACTAGTAGGCCAAGTAGGATCTGGAAAAACAACAGACTGAGACGAACTGTTAAAGATATAGACATGGAAAAAAGTGACCTGGAATCAATAATCACTTTGATTTGATCATTAATCTCAGATTGGAAAGGGGGTTTAGTGAGAATCTCCCACAGTAAGAGAGCAGAGTGAACGATCACAGTACAACTTGGCCCTACTTGGCATCTACAAAAGTCCAGTTTTAAATCACCACTGAGGCAAATTGTGGTTTCTATGTTTTAGCTCTGTTGCGTATAACACAGACCAGAAGAAAATTCATTTATATATTTAATTAGAGTTCCCTTACAGATTCCTTCAGGGAGCAGCACTGAGCTCAATCAGCATTCTCCTGACTTTGAAAGGAGATTTCTGCTCCTATTATTGGCATTTCCTAAAGCAGTTTCTCCTGGAGAAGGGCCTGTCTCAGAAACCTCAGAACATTAATAAAAGAGCAAGTGCTTAAGAAGGTTGTAAAATAAGGAAATAGCCACCCTAATACTCACGCAGAATCCAACTTAAAATACCTCTGTAATTGATGATTTCTGTTCCAAGCACTGGGGTCATCTCCAGAACTGTGATAAAGGCCTTGTCCATAGATGTCAATGGGAATGGAGACATGCGGTGTCTTCTTGCTACCTTGGTAATGTCAACAGCACTGTGACCTGCAACAAGAGAGCACGAAGTTTATGCATGCTACAATCTATAGATGTACACAGTGATGTTCATTTAAACCACTTTACTGAATTTAATACGACACTTTGTGGTAAATCAATTTAGTTAATTATCACTATTGAGTATTTATGTCAGACGCTGGGAAGGCACTGTATTCAACTGTAATCAAAACAGAGATTTAAAACAAAACACGAAACAGTTGAAAAAGTTCACAAAAGTGTATATCCTTACTTGTCATGAAAAACATACCAGAAGTCTTGATGAGCATAGAAGGATCAGTTAATCAGAAACAGAAACCCTTCAAGATGATGCAGTATTTCACACTGAGGATGATAATCTGAGGCTAAGTCAGTTCTACGAACGGTTCACTCTTCATTCTGTTCTCCACAAACACATCTCAATATGCTATGTGCAGTGCACAGATAAAACATAAAAACGGACACCGTCCCAGTGAGTTTGCAATCCAAGAGTGAGCTGGGAGTCAAACGGTTTGAAAGGAGGATAGAGGGAAGCACAATGAAATCACTGGACCATCAGGACAGCAGACAGTGTTTCCAGCTAGTGGGCATCCTACCCATTGTCAAGATTTTGTAGTCACCATAGCAAAGTGACGTTTAAAGGTATAATTTGAGTGAAGGTAGTAGGACGGATTAATGGAAGCTTACTTTTCCCAAGTACGAGGGACAGGTTGGGAGAAAATACGACAAAAGTTGTTTGAAAATGAAGCCAGCGGCATGTTTGATTTCTCGATACTTGCTGAGAGAGTAAACAAGGGGACAACAAGCTTTGAAGGATTTTGAAAGTGAAGATAAGCAACGGAAGAGAGGGAACTATTGCAGAAATATGTAAACAAGAGTAACAGATACAATCCAAAAGATTAAGGAAATGACATTTGTAGAAATATCTTGAATGGATTCACCTAGAACAAGAAGGTATTTATGAGAGCCAAAGTAGATGATGTTCTATATGTAATATGTAATGATATTCCTAAAGCAACATAAATTATAATAAGATAGTATTAACAAATAATAGAAACTTTTAATGACATGATTTTGCTTTGCAGTAGCTACCTAAATATCCCATTTGCTGCTGCACATGTCTTCACATGCTGGAAAAAAATAGATTATTGCTTTTAGTGTAGTCTTCTAATAAAAAATAACTACAAAAATAGTAAAACAATCATGCAATCTAAGTTTTTCCTTCAGAAGACAAGGTCGCTTAATCAGTCTCTATATACAAAACTTCTTTCAGCACTGACACATGCTTGTCTCTTTATGTAGGAGATTGTTCATTAATTTATTTTTTGCCGTTAACACAGCAACTATCTTTAAGAGGAAGAAGTAGAGACAAATAAAACTGCCCACCTTATTCCAGTCCCAAGAAAGATTCTGGAAGAAATTATTTGAACAATCTCTTTGTACGTATTTAGAAGATAACATGATGATAAAAGCAGGCACTGCAAATTTGTCAAGCGCAAATAATTTCTAACTGACTTAATTCCTTTCCTTAACATAGCAGTTGGCATACCAAGGAAGAGAGAAACAGCTGATGAGATATATTTTAACTATATTAAGACTTTTTACACTCTTAAACATGACTTTCTCATAAGCAAACTAGGGAGAAATGATCCACATTAAACTATTTTAAGATAAAAGTATAACTAGTGGAAAAACTGCATTCCTGGATTTAACAACAGGGATGTCCCTAGCAAGCTTACATTTTCCATTACTATGCCTGTATTTTGCTAGCAACTTCATAAAAATGAGGAAAAGGAAAGGAAAGCATTTGTGAGACACAGCCAAATCTCCCATACCTTTCTCTGCATAGAGAAAGAAACCCGGCTCAACAGCACCATAATTCCTGCAGGTCCAGCAGATTCCACACAATATATGTTAAAACTTTTTCCTGACTGTATAAATTAAGAAACTATTTTCTTAAAAGGAAAAGTTGGAAAAAATGAAGGAAGATGCTAGGAAAAATAGGTCACAGCAGTGAAAGCTGCCGAATTGTGTGGCAGCAAACAACCTTTATGCTACAGCCATTAGGTGCTTTAATATTTATGTTTTACTGCTACCTAAAACTCACTGCTAGCTACTTCAGAAACTAAGATTTCACCTCTTTAACCCTTAAAATGTGAGTGAATTCAGAGGCTTTGAATGCTTTGAATGGTGCCCAGAGTACTACTGTCAGATTCGGAACTCTGTGTCTGATACATGCCATTTGCTTAAGTCAAAGGTTCTGTTAAAATCTACTGAGAATTGTGTTCTTCAACACAGTTTTTTTGAAAATAGATAAAATCCCCTAATCTCTGACAACGTTGTTCCAACACCAAAAGTAACACCCATTATTTCTGCAAGAGAAGCCAGGAAAACACATACTCAAAAATAGAGCCCCTTCAGGTTTAACTCTAGCATGAATAACCTTAACGAAGAAAGACACATGCGTAACTACTAACCCTTCTCTCTCCCTATTTCTTCCTACAGACAAATGCTAACCCTTCTTTTAGAGGTATCATACATTTAAACAGATCTGGAGACAAACAAATAATGATTTTTTAAATTCTAAAATTACTAAGTGGTACTTTTTAATTACAAGTAAATAACATTAAACAACTCCTCAGACCTTCCCAAGTTATCTTTCACTAATGTCAAATGTCAGATGGCTTTAAAAATAACTACTTACATTAAGCAGCATTTGGTATGACAAAATAATCCTCTAGCTTTGAAGCAGTTAAGTCAATTGGTTGCATAAGGTAGAAAATTCCTGACAGCCTTCTCTTATCACCAAAACAACTTCCTATTCCTGTTGTTATACATATATACACATATGGTGGATCAAATTTTAGACTAGGAGATTCCCGTAAAACAAAGGAAAGGAACTGTGCAAATTAAATAGGTCATTTGGATCAAATCTGAATTCTTAACCTTTGCATTTTTTGGTTTGGTCTTACGGTTTTATGTAACCCAACATTCAATTTCATGTTCAGGTATGAAAATAAAAATCATACATATTCAATTTGGGAATTTCCATTTTCATTGTTTTTGAGCGTTGATTCTTTTTGCCCATAAAACTTGCACACACATGATCATTTACAACAATACATCACCACAAATAACTCCATGTCATTAGAACAACTCGGAAGAAAAAATTAAAAGGCAGCTATCCATTAATATGTGAACACTGTGAGCTATTTACACTTTTATTTTCTCTTTGGAATGAATTTCATTGTCTTAAGTTATTAAACAACTTCTGCAAACCCACTTATGTCCCAACCATATCCTTCTCTTCTCATCTGACTACCATTTGCTGTCTTCTGAGCAGTCTTAGTTTCTCAGTAGAACTATGACGTTTCAGTACTTACTTGCTCTGAGGATGTTCTCCTTGCTGCTGCACCTAGACTGGACCTGCAGAGAGAGCACAGAGTCTGTGAGCTACAGAAGTTAACAAGAATGCAAAATACAGAGATATAATGGGCAAGCTCCTGGGATCTAAGACAGAGGCTATACATATTTTCAGCAACATTCTCACATACTCTACATGAGATAAGTATATTTAAGCAGAAGGGTAGTAGCTGATGGTCAGAATCTGATACAATCAATTTGATTCCACCCCACCCCTCACAAGAAACAAGATGGCCTAAGGACAGTAATAGAGTAAAATCAAAGAACACAGTGGTTAAAATTACGTGTTAAACTCCAGTTTTAAACAAAAATCCACATTTTCTTATACAATTGTAATTACAGTAACTCTGAATCTAGGTCCTGTTTTATGACTAGACAAAATAATAACATAACTTTATTATCATGACCTGCTTTAAAATTCTATTATTGATATTTTCAGGTATTACAGAGAGAGTTTAAAATACTCAATTTAGATTGTGTTGATTCTGAAGATATTTAATAAGACTTCTTCATAACTGTGTAAGCAACTCAAAATTGTATAAACAGCTCCTGGCTGGAGCCAGATAAATTTACTCAGTTGTTTCTGTTTGCTTAAAAGAAATGCTATGTTCAGTATGAATTTTACAGTGCAATTCTACTTTAAAAAGTAACTGTGTGAGAATGACAACTGCTTTCTCAACAAATCCTCTTCCTAGATGCTTAGCTGCCACTGTGCTATTCCAGATACACTAGTCTGACTCCAGAGAAACTGGAGGATTCACATTGGTCTAATATTCTCGTAACACTGGATATCTAGAGTTCCATCTGTTTACCATGCAGATTTTAAAAAGAATTGTTTTTTGAAGAGTATCAGTCCTGTAAACACAACACAGTTTAAACTTTATCTATACTGAAGCACCAGCTCTTGTTAATTCTTCTCAGGTTTGGAAAGATAGCACATTGTATAGTAACACTGAAGTTGCAAGTTTTTAGATGAACTAATTTGAACAGCAGTCTATCTTCTGGCAGGTCAGCTGACTAAACTGGTAACACTAGAATAAAAAGCTTTTTGTGTGGATAAAGCCCCAGCTAAAGTAAACTTCACAGGAAGACAAACCTCTGAGAAAGTATGAATGGAATCCTTCTTTTTTACTTTATTGACAAAATGTATTGCTAAATTTCAGTGAGAGGACTAATAAAGTAAATCCGTGTGGTGAAAGAAGTGGAATAGCACAGGTGACGCTGAGGGTGTAATCTCCCTGTAATTTCTGCTGCAGAAGTGAAGGAGTGAATCCAGATTATCTTTCAGACTACAGTTTCAATTTGCAGTTACAGAAAAATTGCCTAGAAAGTGCATATGTATGATCTAACAATTCATGAAGAATGGTACACAGTCAACCCCCAAAAAGCTGTCTTTGGAAAGGAACAACCATTTAAGGCTGAAACCAACTGTGCCCCAGCTTCTAAACCTCTTTCTTCTGTTCCACAGCAGCTTGCCCCAAATGTATATTCACATAAAAAAATTGGATTCTACAGTGCAACACAGTCTAGTTATTGTAATGGAATAACTTATGGAAAGTAATGTTGCAACTTAGAGTGGGTTATGGTGTCCTTCCCTGAAAAAAACTCTTGTTTAAAAAAAAAAACAAAACAGAAAACCCCCAAATCCTCCCTCCTTCCCACCAAAAATACTATACAAGAAAACTGCAAACAAAATATTAATGACGCCCAAATTTGGCCCAGAGTTGTTTTACCAGATTTCAAAGGCATGACACGAACTCTCTTTGGAAGAAGTAAATATTTACCTATAATTTACCAAAGGACAATTCTGGACCAAAAAGATGGTATAATGGTAGGAAAGAAAGCACAAAAGAGAGAGGCACAGATTGAGAGAGAGAGAGAAGCAGGATGGACGTGGCAAGGCAGAAGATGGTGTGTGCAAAAGGAGACATGGGCCTATGTGTGTAAGACTATTGTTTAAAATGGAAGAGGCTCTCTTATTTCTCACTGAAAACCATATGAAAAGAGAAAACGAGGAATGGGCCTGCTGCAAAATAACCAAGCGATTCAGCAAACTGTGGAATGAAACTCAGTGAGATAACATAGTCCTAAAGAAAAAGGCAAAAAACCAAAATACAAAACACAAACATTCGAAACAATCTACTAAAACAAACTAAGTAAAATATGTGATCCAAAAGACACAGATAAAAGCTACTAGAGAAGGAGGAAAAATGTTAGCAGACAAAGACAGTGCTAAAGAAGTAAAATGGAAGTCAAGAGAGAGTCTTCAACAAAGTGGAGGAACAGAAGGAGCCCAAACCCATAGCGCAAAGCAATGTTTGCGAATGGAAAACAGCTCCTTTGAGCAGTAATAGTTACTCTCGAGTTGTAGCCTCTATTCCTCCTCAGTTCATCTTTAAGCCCTTCCAACCTATAGTGGAGCTAGTGTATGGACAAAAACAAGAGATTTATAATGAACAGAGCAGCTGAGATTTGCAGATCAAATCTTCTAATATAAAAAACGTGCTGACAAAGTTTTGCTCTTACAGTGTCCAAATGACAATGGTAACAAAAGACAGCTGGCTTCACACGCAGCCTCTTACAGGTCATTTTTTTAATTCTGTGCACACAGAGGACTTTAAATTTACTTTTTGATTTCTTACACCCAGCCTACAGTTTCCATGTTATCACTCACCTGATGGGCAACATATGCAGTATGAGAAATAATTTGCTTCCCACAAATTTTAAAAGCAGCTGTGGAAGAGGAATCCATGATAATAAAATAAAAGGCTTGATCAGCTAGACTTGATCGTTTCCCAACCTATGCTCACAGCTGCAGAATACAAACCATGTTTTAACATAACTGACATCAAAATTAGTTATTACATAATACTTCTGTTTGTTTAATATGAATTGCACATTGATATCCTAAATGTTATTTTTAACCAAAACTGCAGTAAAATATGATTTTGAATAAAACCCACCAGTTTTCTAACACATACAGTTTTAGCAGCAATGGAGCTTTGTATATATGGGGTCATGTGCTTTAAGTGCCTTTTATCATATTCATTATTTGTATGTTTTACTACTTTGTTATTTGTGACATTTACGAAAAATCTGTATTCTTTTCACAGCTACTGCTAAGTAAAGAATCCATATTACATTGCATATAGTACCATGACTGACTGGGGCGAGTGATTAGTAGTATTATTTACTATAATCCCTCTCATTCATCGAATGTTACAGAAATAACAACCTATGGCTGTCTCTCCTCTCACAGGGAAAGTATAGATTTATTCTTTGTCCATTCTACAGCCTCTTGGCTCACAATGTACCTTGGCAGAAGATACAGTGGGCTACCAGCCAGTACCATTCCCCTGTGTAGTTCAGGCAGAATCTAACCAAGCCCAAAGCATTCAATTCACGTTACTGTGTTTTTTAAGCAAACTGGATTTTATGTTCTTTAAGATATAATTTCATCACGCTGGAATGCAGAATAAGCTTTCTCCCATAGGCTGAAGTAGTAAATAGAATGTGAAATAACGTACTCAAAAATAAATTAAGGCAATGGTAAAATAAAGAGTCCTGCTGACAATTTCTATCTATCAATCATGATTGGTCTGAAAAATGAAATCAATGACTGTACTAAATTGGATTTATTTAAATCTACACGATATGTTCTGTTGCATATAAAAATCAGTCTACAAAAAAATTTTTTACAAGAAAAATAGAAAAAGACACAAAGAAAAGTTCATGCTACAAGTGAAAAATTCATGTGAAAAATAAAGAAAAAAAGAAAATTGAAAAACCCTTTAACACTTTACCATGACTGTTAGGAATGGTTAGAGAAATTACTTACCTTTTTAAAGTCATAACAAGATTAGCACAGAGTATTAAGTCAGCTCTTCATTATGGGAGGTACAATTAAAAGCCATTGGTTATAATAAAACAAATTGCTACACAAAGATGAAGAGTTTCCAGCCCAATATGAAAAGCTAACTCGTATGGGAGTACATTTCAACTCAATTTTACAACACGAAGAACAATTCAGAACAATGACATCAAAATATGAGTTATCACCAACAGAAAGCCCATTTCTCAGGAACACAGAGCCCGTAGGAGGCTAACCCATAATCTTTATCATTTATGGGAAAGCACATTGCTCCGTTTTTAGGAAAGCATGCAGAATGTGGAACCACCAGCAGAAACCCAAACATACATACAGACACAGAGGACTAAGGTACAGCAAAGGGAATGAGTTCGCCAAGCTGTAATGAGGGAAGCAAGGTAAGCAAAGCACAGCGGCCCTTAACAGTCCAAGAACTCCTCTGTCTCATAAACACCAGGCAGGCCTGTTTATGAGGTATTGCACCTACTACAACTTACTGCCGGTGAGAAAGTGCATAACTCATACAACCTCTCCTTGAAACTTCAGCAGTTTTATGAAGGCAATTTATTCTGCGTGATGTGGGAAAGTATGCTGCTGCTGCCTTTTTCTACATGTGATTTATCAGTAATTACATGATGTGAGTTTTGTACAACATACTCTGTGCACATGCCGTTAGAATGGTCTCTCAAATACTTGCCTGCTTCAAATAGATTTCAAATCACACATGATCCGATTTATAACTGTAGGGGTTTGCACGGTGTCTCTTGCCTAAAATACCTTTTCCCCCCTAAGAGTGCAACATACATTAATCAGTATCTGTAAATAAATACATAAAATAAAACTAAGCCATGAATAACAGTGTCTCAAACTGGTGTAATAATACTGTAAAAACTGATTTTGGCCTGTTATTCTAAGCAATATGCATAAGGTTTAACTAGGAGGAAACTGAAAAATGTAATGAAATACATTGCTTGCTTCATTAAAAGAATTGTTTTAAATCTAATCTGAAGAACAGAGACAATTGCTTTGATTGAACTAATATGGAATATAAAAATCAGGTGGTTAAAAAATTCACAGGAAACGTGTATCTGGAATTGCATACTTCAGAAAATGTTTAACAAAGTATTTGAGGATT